ACCCCCGGCCCGGCTCCCCGACCCGGCCCCACGGCCGGCACCATGCCCCCGACCCCGGACAAAGAGGCCCCGGCCGAGCCTCCCGATTTTCCCGGACATGCCCGGCTTTGGGGGATTTCCCCCCGGACGGGGATTTGAGCCCCCAAAAGCCGGACATGTCCGGGAAAATCCGGACGTATGGTAACCCTAATGTTGGCAGGAGAAGCACATAGTGCTGTGCACACCACCACTTATGCCAGTGCAATGTACGTCACTCAGGGGGTGTTTTGCCAGCATACGTGGTAGTGTAGACATGGCCTTTGTAAAATTGTTGTTTTATCTGCCTGCACCTGCCATGTGTGCATTTTATATACCAGCACAGTAGATGTGGCTTTTCTTTCTCATGTGTGTTTCCTTTCTTGCTAGTTGGCTGTGGAGTCCCAACAAGGTTAAGCTTTGCTGAGCTGAGGAATGAATATAAAAATCAGAATTACTTTCCCGTTTGGAATATTGCAAAATACACTTGTCGGCCTGGATATGGAAGAGACCCACAGCTACAACCCACTATTACATGCCTTGAAAATGGAAGGTGGTCAGAAGCACGCGAGTTCTGTAAAAGTGAATATTTTGTTTCTGTTGTTAGAAAAAGGTCTTAAAGGAACAAGGTTGTGTCCACGCTGCAAAAATGTAACGTATCTTTAAGTAGTTAATAGTGACTAATAAAGCTCTCTAGCTATGTCTATTCTGGGCCCTTCTAAATGCCATCTTTTTGGGGGTGTTAAATACGGACAGATCTTGGGGATAATTGTTTGATTGAAAGACAGAAGCCTAATCCTAGCCTTGTTCTCTACCAGAGAAATCGTGTGGTCATCCCGGAGAGCCGGAGAACGGCAGAGTTATTATATCAGATCTCCTCTTTGGGTCAACCGTCAACTTCACCTGTGAAGAAGGGTAAGTGTCAGACTGCCTGAGCTGACTACTTGTGCTTAGCTTGCAGCTGTGGAACACAAATGGATATCCTCGTATTCCCCCAACTCCTGAAAGCAGTTTACTCTTTCATACTAAAGCAGCACTCCAGCTTCTTGGCTCAGTCAATATCATTTTTATATGCAGGGAGAGATGGATTGGCGTAAGTCTCCCTCTTTTCTTCATTCATGCTCTGCCATTTATGGTACAAACTTTAGGTACAATTTGGCCAGCTGAATGCTCTGCCTGCAGGTGCTGGGTGAGCACCAACGTCTCCTGTGGAGAGTAGGATCCAAGTGACCAGGGCAAACCCTGGAATCTCTTGGATTTTACCCCTGGTTTGAAATGGGAATTGTTCTTCTTCTGAATCGTTTGAAATGGCTGCCTTTCCTCAGGGCCGTGCAGAGCAGGGGCTCCATGGCTAACTTCCCATCTATCTCCAAGGACAAACCCAGCTCGGAGAGCCGTCTGAGTTACAGCTTTGGGGATATGGTGGCAGAAGGGCTGTTGCCTGCCCCCTCCTTTGAAAGATTGAGACTGTGCTTCAGTGGCCTGAAAAGCAGAGGGCTGCAGCTGCAGGACTGGCTGGAACGTTTGTAGGGAGTGTCACGTCTGTATTGTCACGTCTCTACATAGGACTCTGTTCCATGGTTTAATTCTACAAGGGGCTGGGGAGTTCTGAGTTGGCAAGGAGCCTTTTCTCCTATGATATCACTCAGTAGTTGGTCCCCACCTGCTGTGGCTGTGGAGAAGAGCTTCCCAAATAACTGAGCTTCACAGGATAACTCATACACCAAAGGACTAGGTAACAACTGTAACCCCCTCTACCTAACTCCAGGCACCGGTTGATTGGACAGCCTTACGGACGATGTGAGATTTCTGGCCTGCGTGTTGCATGGAGTGGTGAAGTTCCCATTTGTGAGCGTAAGTAAATTACAAATATCTGTCCAGGTCCTTACGTGGGTGCTTGTGTCTATTAGTATTTAAGAGGCAAGCAGATAAGAAACAGGTAGGGAAGCTTTATGATCCTCACTTTAGAGAGGAAGAACTGAGAAACAGAGAGATTAAGGGATGTACCCCGGGTGATATGGGGAGTTGGTCAATAACAAACCCAAAATTTTAATCCAGATCTCCAAGTCCCAGGTACCTTAACCACAAGAGCCTCTTGGGTTGATAGGTGTGTGTGAAGGGGTTTTTATCCCAGGAAGAAGTTTCTTGTTTCAAGTTCCTGACCATAAGAACTTAGTCTTTCTTTGACAACTGGCTAAATGAAAAAGGCACCGAGCTTGGTATGGCAACGATGTTCTACCAGGATCGTTATTGGCCATTTTGTATTTTTAAATAAAGTAACAGGTGTGCCTGATAGGGATTTGTATTAATCCAAAATTAGACAAGAAGTTCATTACCTACACTTCAAGGCATGCATGTGCCCTGGTAGTGCGGACACCAGTTTATTGTGCAGCAGGAAAATAGTGCGTTTTTCCGTGCTTGATTGGGATGGAACACCTTGATATTAAAACAGTACATATTGAAGTCCCTTCCTCAATAGAGCGTTATATAAAACTCCTCCAGAAAATGTGGAGATGACACACTTCCTGTATACTAGGCCAGTGTCCCTCGACCTTTCCAGACTACTGTACCCCTTTCAGCAGTCTGATTTGTCTTGCATATCCCCAAGTTACACCTCACTTCAAATCCACTTGCTTGCAAAACGAGCCATACAAATATACAGCATGCTGCTACTGAAAAATTGCTGACTTTCTCATTTTTACCACATATAATAATAAAATCAATCAATTGGAATATAAATACTGTACTTACATTTCAGTGTGTATAGTATATAAAGCAGCATAAACAAGTCACTGTAGGAATTTTTAGTTTGTACTGACTTTGCTAGTGCTTTTTATGTAGCCTGTTGTAAAACTAGGCAAATTTCTAGATGAGTTGATTTATCGCAGGATTGGAGGGGACTTTGAGAGGTCATCGAGTCCAGTCCCCTGCACTCATGGCAGGACTAAGTATTGTCTAGATCAGTGAGTCTCAAACTTTTGTACTGGTGACCCCTTTCACATAGCAAGCCTCTGAGTGTGACCCCTCCCCCCCATAAATTAAAAACACTTTAGAATATATTTAACACCATTATAAATGGTGGATGCAAAGCGGGGTCTGGGATGGGGGCTGACAGCTCATGATCCCCCCATGTAATAACCTTACGACCCCCTGAGGGTCCTGACCCCCAGCTTGAGAACCCCGGATCTAGACCATTCCTGACAGGTGTTTGTCTAACCTGTTCTTAAAAGTCTCCAATGATGGAGATTCCACTGCCTCCCTAGGCAATTTATTCCAGTGCTTAACTACCCTGACAGTTAGGAAGTTTTTCCTAATGTCCAACCTAAACCTCCCTTGCTGCAATTTAAGCCCATTGCTTCCTATCCTCAGAGGTTAAGAAGAACAATTTTTCTCCCTCCTCTTTGTAACAACCTTTTACGTACTTGAAAACTGTTATCATGTCCCCGCTCAGTCTTCTCTTTTCCAGATTAAACAAACCCAGTTTTTTCAATCTTCCCTCACAGGTCATGTTTTCTAGATCTTTAATAATTTTTGTTGCTCTTCTCTGGGCTCTCTCCAATTTGGCCACATCTTTTCTGAAATGTGGTGCGCAGAACTGGACACAATACTCAAGTTGATACCTAATCAGCGCAGAGTAGGGTGGAAGAATTACTTCTCATGTCTTGCTTACAACACTCCTGCTACTACATCCCAGAATGATGTTCACTTTTTTTGCAACAGCGTTACACTGTTGGCTCATATTTAGCTTGTGGTCCATTATGACCCCCAATCCCTTTCCACAGTACTCCTTCCTAGGCAGTCATTACCCATTTTGTATGTGTGCAACTGATTGTTCCTTCTGAAGTGGAGTACTTTGCATTTGTCCTTATTGAATTTCATCCTATTTAAGTCAGACCGCTTCCACTCCATCCACAAGGCTTATTACCGTCAAAGAAAGCTATCGGGTTGGACTGACATGATTTGTTCTTGACAAATCAATGCTGGTTGTTACTTATCACCTTATTATCTTCTAGATGTTTGCAAAAGGGTTGCCTAATTATTTGATCCACCATCTTTCCGGGTGCTGAAGTTAAGAAGACTGGTCTGTAATTCTCTGGGTTGTCCTTATTTCCCTTTTTATAGATGGCCACTGTTTTTGCCCCGTTCCAGTCTTCTGGAATCTCTCCCATCTTCCATGGCTTTTCAAAGATAATTGCTAATGGCTCAGATATCTCCTCAGTCAGCTCCTTGAGAATTCTAGGATGCATTTCATCAGGCCCTGGTGACTTGAAGACGTCTAGTTTGTCTAGGTAGTTTTTAACTTCTTCTTTCCCTATTTTAGCCTCTTCTGATCCTACACATTTTCACTGGTATTCACTATGTTAGATGTTCAATCGTCACCAACCTTCTTGGTGAAAACTGAAACAAAGAAGTAATTAAGCACCTCTGCCATTTCCGCATTTTCTGTTATTGTTTTTTCCCCTTCATTGAGTAACGGTCCTATCCTGTCCTTGGTCTTCCTCTTGCTGCTAATGTATTTGTAGACTGTTTTCTTGTTACTCTTTATGTCTCTAGTAGCTCGTTTGATCTCGTTTTGTGCCTTGGCCTTTCTAATTTTGTCCCTACAGACTTGTGTTATTTGTTTATATTCATCTTTTGTAATTTGACCTAGTTTCCACTTTCTGTA